TGAAGGAAAACCAAGCATGAAACCCAGTTGGAGGCAGGAATTGAAGGCTTTGCTCATCTGCACAAGTTCGAAATCCCAAAGCAGGGGAATTTTAAGTTCTTGGGCCTAAAGTTTGGAGCAGCTTGCTCCAAGTCCCTGTGTCCAACCTGGCCTTGGACACTGCCAGCGATGGGGCAGCCACAGCTTCTCTGAGCATCCTGTTCCCTATCCTGAGTCCTCTGTGCAGTTTTCAGCCCAGGAAAGGGTGGAAAGGTGAAATATCCATGCATTTCAAAGCAGCATCCATTGAGGGTTGTGGTTCCAGGAGGGCTGATAAGGTAACAGTGCTCATTTTAGTATCAAAGGGACTGCTGGAATTCCTCAGTGGCCTTGAAAGGGTTCAATTTATAACCTCCGTATGTGTGGCTATTACAGTGACAGAGGAGGAGCTGCAGCCTTGTGCTGCAGAAACAAGAGGAAATGCATTAACAAAACAGTCTTCTTTCCTCTTCTTTCCCTTTTTCCTTTAATGAAGCAAAGGTGGGAGGTGTTCATGAGGGTAGGGAGCGTGCTGAGCAGCGTGTTCTCAAGTCCCTTAGGTTGTGCTTCACGTGCGTTCCGATGTTAATAACCGGGATTGCTTTCAAGGGGCTTTGCTTAATTAAAACCAACCAGCACAGGCAATCTTCCCAAGTAGTGCCTGGCGTTCCGTGGCAGCAAAGAGATGGGGAATTCTTGTAACTCTTCCAGCAGGGAATCTGCTGGGACCTGCAGGCTCTGTTGCAATAGGCTGCGCGTTTCCTTCTCTGGCCACCAAGTCAATGCCGTTCACAATCAGAGCTTCATTTCAGCACCTTATGGATGCTGCAGGCTGGAGTTCCAGTTGGAAAACGACTTAATCTTCTGTGGCTTTATCCAGGCAGGGCTGCTGGTGTTTTGCCTCAAAGGAAACCTGCTGGAAACACAGTGTGAGTTTTCCTTGCAGGCTCTCTGTACTTCTCAGGCTCTGATTTTGCACAGTGCATGTGTTGCGACTGTCTTGGGAAGCAATTTGGGAACAGCTCTTTAGCATGAATGAGAAGGGAATCAAGCTCCCATCCACTGTGCTTTTACTTGAATGAAGATTGATACTGCAGCTAGTCTGATGAGATAGGCGAGGGGTCTGCAATGTCTGACCTCACTGAAGATTCAGGCCGTAGTTAAATGATGCTGCTTTGTGGGTACCTTTGTGCTATCCAGGTACTCAGGACCTCACTTCTGTCAAACACAGGGATGAACTTCTCTTCCCAAAAGCAAACCTCCAATGCTGAAGTCCCCAGCAGCACATGGCAGGCTTTCCTGACCAGCACTGGATAGGGAGCTGGGCTGAAGAAGCCTTGTTGTGTTGAGCTTTAACAGATCCTGGAATTAAAAGGCAAGGATTATGTGTGTGGTTTTCAGGTTGTATCTTTCCAAACCAGAACTGCGATGTATTGCATGTGTTTGAGGGGTAGATGTCCCCGTTCAGCACAACTGGAAGGGGATAGTAGTGAATTAAAATACTTAGGCATCAGAGGGAAAGATGTAGAGGTTTGGATTCCAGTGTTTCAGGGACCATAAATCAGGCACTGTGTGACAGGGTGAGGTATTTAGCTGACTTTAACTGGCCAGAGATTTATGTGTTTATGGAATCAAGAACTTCCTTGGTCTTGGAAAGCAAACTTGGGTTACAGAATGACACCAAAAGGCAGAGTGGAATTTATCATGAAGCATCCTGTGAATGCGAGTGCCAGTGGGGAAAGTGATAGTTTATGTAAATCTGTTTCCCAAATAACATTCATCTTGCTCTCACATTATGGATATATATTAATAGGATAATAGCTCCTCAAATAACATTCGATGAGGAGGTACACAACTGGATCAACTCCCTTCCATTATGTGTGTTGCCCCTCCTAAGCTGTCAGCCTGCTTATTTAAGAGGTGGAATAGTTGCTCCCCAGCACTGAAGGAGGCGGCTGCTTCCATTTATGGCTGGGAAATTCCCAAAGAAAAATGTGCTGTCAGCTTGTTCATCCCTCTGCAATGTGAGTTCTCTGCAGTGCTGAAGAGCTTAACGAAGGGCATGGCTTTATCCCAAGCTTCGTCCTGGTTTGCATGTTCCTTAGCTCTCCTTTTGCAAAGTGCTGCTTGGGGATGCCCCATCCCTGGCAGTGCTCAAGGCCAGGTTGGATGGGGCTTGGAGCAACCTGCTCTAGTGGAAGGGGTCCCTGCCTGTGGCAGGGGGTTGAAGCTTTAAGGTCCCTTCCCACCCAGACCAGTCTATGAATGTAGACTGGATAACCTCAGCCTGAGCAATCCACTTTTATTTCTGATGCACTAAGGGCAATTGTGTGTAACAGCTCAAATTTGTCCCCAGAAGGTGACTTTCTTCACTACTTAAGTAGCAGTGTTAAAGATGTGGCTTCCACTGGTACAGATTTCTGTGCCCTGTTCTCTCATCACAGGTCGAATGAGATGAACATGCTGCATTTTAACTACTGGGGTTGGAGCAGCCTCTCACTCAAAACCCTTATCTTGCAGATCATGGGGTTAAAGAGTCAGCATCGCTTACTCAACAGCCTGATGTGAGACAAGATTTCTTCCATTGGATTAAAAGTGATGAAATCAAATCATTGGTGCCTCCTTTGTTCAGCTGTGAACTGGGGCTTAGCGTGCTCTGGTAGCTGGGGCAACAGCCCTGCTCTGATAGGTAAAGTATGTGAGCAATCCACCGGGGAGGAGGAGTGATACCTTTGCCATAGTGCGAGGTGTCAGGCTGGAGAGACAGCAAAAACAAACCCTGGATGTGCCTGGGGCTGCTCATGATGTCAGGAGGCTGGTATGTGTTTGAACAGGAGTCTGCTCATGCAAGAGCTGCTGTGAATGGATCACTTAGGGGTGTTTCTGCCTCCTTTGCTTATAGTTACCTCATTTCGCTGCAGTTTGCTTAGGAGAAAACAGATTCCCAGCATCAGTGGTGCTAAAGATCTCCAAACCATTCCAGACCCCTTTTATTCTCTTTTGATGCGCTGTATTCTTGCAGGGGTTAACACCTTGTGCACGCTCCATCTTGCATTTCCTTTTGTCCTTTTCAGAGTTCAGCTTGAATCTTGGATGCAGTTTCCTTGTCATCAGACAGAGTGATTCTTCCCTTGAACATGTCAAGTCTTGTGCTCTCTGGAGCGTGGTGTTGGTACCAACGTGGTGTTGGTTTAGAGAGAGATAAAAAGGCCCTCTTACAAAGGGTGTATGTGTGTGTTTATAGAGTGATGAAGGAGCATTCTACATTGGCCTTTTTCTTCTGGAGGGCTACAGCAGAGAGGAGGCAGCACAGGAGCATGGGTTTGCTCTCTGCCATCAGCACTTGATAGAAGTGAATGTCTATTGAATGGTTTGGTTCTTAAAGGAACAAAGTTACTGCATCCTGTTACCATCAGTGTATTCATCCCGAGCCCTCCTATACTTGTGTTATTTCTGTTAGGACAGAGCACAACAAATTCCTATGCTAAACTTGTATGTATAAGTGAACTTGGAAGCATTCTGTTGTGGGACATCGATGCCAGTCTCTTATATATGGTTCAGTGTTTTATGACTTTGTGATCTGTGCCAGAGCTTGCTCTCATATTGGGTTAGATTAAGTAGAAGCTGCTTGTATAAGACTCTGTCTTAAATGATGTGCAGTGGAATAAGTCCTTGAACCTCAAGGGGTGGGTTTTCTGTAGCTAAGACATGAATTTAGGCCTTTGTGTCTCATCCCAAGCATGTGGTCAGCACTGCACAGTCCTTGGCTCCTTGTTGAATGTCTGATCTCCAGGCACTGATTTTGTGTGTAAACAGGGAGGGGGAGAAATGAACCTGGTTATGATGGAGTGAATGTTTTCCTACTATCCACCAAGCAAGAGCTGCACCCAGCCGTTGTCCCAGTGGATTCTTCTCTTTCTTTGTTTGCTTCAAGCATGCATGTATTGACACAAGCTGGTGGGGACCTGCAGGCAGCAGGAATGAATGGTGCCCACAGTAACGTGTGTGGCTTTGAGTGTATAAAAAGCTAAAGATGAAGGCCAGGAAACATGAATCTGTGGGGCAGTGGTCCCTGGAGCCTCTGTTTGTAATCTGCCTTTTCTGAAGCAGCTGAAGTGGATTGTTGAGCTTTGGAGTTTGGTTTTCTTTGCCTTATACCTCTACTTTTACAACAGTGAGTAGTTGTGTAGGGGCAGCATGTCCAGCTCCCAGCATTCACTCAGGCTTTTCAGCAGAAGCCCAAGCCTGCAATTGAATTTAATCCCCTTTTTCTCCTTTTGGTCAGGCAGCGAGATTGCCAACAGGGAGCCTGACCTTGTTTGCATTGATCAGTCTGCAGTTTGACCCACATGTGGGGCTGGGTTAGTGGGGTTTTGTCTGCCAGGGCAGGCTTGGAAGTGTGCAGAGTACGCATCAATCCAGGCAGGACAAATACCCATAGGAGTGCACTGACCGAGAGACAACAGGCTTTGAGGACTTGAATGCAACAGCTTCTAGTTCAGCAAAGTCGCCTTTTCTTGTATGTTAGAGCAAGAAGCTTCAGTGTTTCCATCCCAAGTTTGTGAAGCTTTTGGGAGAAGCACAGACTGGGAACTCTGAGGTGGATTTGAGCAGCTATTCTATCAGGATTAGCAGTACCGTGGGTAACCTCACAGAGGTGTTTCTGCCAAAAGCTATTGGTATTAGTTACTTATCTTCAAATAACCTAACCCTAACCCTGGGCACAGCCTTGAAGTGTGAATTACTGTTGGTTTTGGTAAGCTGTTGAAGTAATAAAAGCAGAGTTTGGAGAAACACTGTTGAAAACATGATGTGTGCTGAGCATCTTTAAGGAATATCATTACAGAATGGTTGGGAAGACTCCTCCAATGTTCTGGATTAAGCAGGAGCTCTCTAGAGGAGCTGGCAGAGGCCTTCTGGTTCTTTGGGTTCTGCTTTCCATCAGACCATGCACTCACTGTGTCCTGTCTTTGTGTTCGCAGGCGCTCGCAGCCAATGCAGGGGCAGGCTTCGCGGTGGCAGAGCCTCAGATTGCCATGTTCTGTGGGAAGCTCAATATGCACGTGAACATCCAGACTGGGAAATGGGAGCCTGACCCTTCCGGGACCAAGAGCTGCTTTGGAAGAAAGGAAGAGATCCTGCAGTACTGCCAGGAGGTGAGTTTTCCTGTGTGCCCCTGCATCTGCACTGCAGCCAAGGAATTGGATTCCCATTTAGGCGGTCAGTAGCAAATTAACCCTGCAGGAAAAGAGCTTGCTTTCCACTAGCTCGAGTGCATGACCTGTTTGCAGAGCAGGGAGGACACTGCAGCGGGATTGAAGAGCTGCCTCTGGTTTAAAACAGCCACAGAAGGGATCAGTCTTTTAAGTAGAGGGTTTTTGCAGCGGTATCTCCAAATCTTAACCTGATTCACCAGCATCACCATCACATTGTACATGATGGAACCTGACATTATCCTCATCAAACTGTGGCTGGGTTGTTCTCAGCAGCATGTTCAGATCAGCCAGACCATTAGAAAAGTACCTTCCTCAACGTTTTGACAGTATTTACAGGCTCTTTATGCATTATTGTAAGAGATGTAATGTCCTTTCAGTGTGCTCCAGATATGCTGTAGCATATTGGCTTTGGTAGCTGCCTTTAATTGCTCTTCTGAGGTGACAGGCAAGGAGAACACTCTAAGTAATGTATCTTTTAAATAGGAAACTGCTAGAATGCACCATGTCTGGACTTAGATAACTTTTAAAACTGTTTTACAAGGCTGATGTAATTGGGGCTACATTTGGTTCACATAGTAAAAGCCTAAATATAAGTCAGCGTCTGGACTTGAGAACTCGAGGAGGATGTAGGAATGATACTAATACATCATAAATGGAGCAGGCATAAGGAAACCTGAGGAGGTAGGTGCATATTAGCCCGACAAGTGTCTGAAGATGGTACTAAACCCTGTTTGTTGGTGATTGCCCTCTTCCAGAGGGTATCATGCTGCACCAGACAGAATGGAATGGAGAAATCTCCTCCAAACCCAAGTCCTCCTTCTTTGTTACCATGCAAAGCCAAACACCTCAGCTCAGTGCCAGCAAAGGCTTTTGCTGCTGACCTGGCTTCCTCCTGCTGCAAAGAAGTGATGGATGACACATTCCGTTTCTCAAGCCCTGGGTGCCAAACAGCTTTTTTATGTCTTCAGCTGTTGTAAGCTTGATCCAGAAGAGAACGTGTGTCCATGCGCGGATTGGAACTTGGCTTTGTGTGGAGAATCAGCCTCGCTGCTTTGGTGAGGAGCCACTTTGCCCATTCTCTGTCTTTGCTTATGAAACAGATGTATCCAGACCTGCAGATTACGAACGTGGTGGAAGCCAACCAACCCATTAGCATCGACAGCTGGTGCAAGAGGGGGAAGAAGCAGTGCAAGGACCACACTCACATTGTCGTGCCCTACAAGTGCCTGGGTGAGTGGGTGGTGTGATGTGTTTGTGTGTTCACAGGGAACAGGCTTCTAACACAGCCAACAACCGAGCTTGACAAGGCTTCTCTCCTCCCAGGTTGCCATTTCCACATCCAGCTTCCTCTTAAACGTTTTGGTTTCCACAAGATGGAACTCTCCCTGTCTCAAACAGACCGACAGCTTGATAGCAGCTGTGGTGGGATAATGGTGCCTGGCATGCAAAAGAAATCCCCGTTCCCTCTGCAACTGCCATAAAACCCTGAAGGCTATTGTACTTGAGTATCACAAAGACATTGGGATTTAATACTCTGATCCTATTTTTGTGGAGCTTTAATATTTTGTTGCCTTGGAGACTCCAATGCTCAGTGTGTTCAGGCTTCCTGCTTTGGTCTTGGCAAGAGATCTCTATTCTATTTCCATGACTATATTTAAACATTGCTGTTCCAAAGAGGCCCTGCTTCTTGCAGCTGTATCCCATGTCCCCACTTTGAACTGGGAAAGAACATCAGAGAAACTGATGGATTTCATGGTGCTTTCCAGAATCCCTCCATCCACTGGAATGAAGGCAATGAAGGCCCATGTTTAGCTTGTTTACCTTGCAGCTTTTGACCTGTAGGTTGTGCGTGACACTGTGCTGCACTGCATGTGCAGACTAAGCTTAGTCTCAGCTGGCTGATTCTCTTTGGAGTTATCCACTGGAAAATAGTTGGTTTAATGGAAGTCTTGTGCTATCTTGGGGAGTCTGAGTGCTGGGAGCATTGAGTGGGAACCAGTTTTCCTTATCTGTGGCCTGATTCCAGGTTAGGATGTGGTTTGGCGTAGGAGAACACAAGCAAATCTGCAGAACTGTATGGGTACTTTGTCCTGTATGGGTGTGTATATATACATACACCTTCATATATACATACATATATGCATATATATGCACACATATACATATATATATACACATACACACACACATATGCCTTCCAATAGACAATCATAAAGCACATCATAAACATGGAAGCTGTTGTGGAAGCAACCTGGGAGAAAGACTCTTGTCTTTATAGATGTGCCAGTTCAGGTTTGAGAAGCAACCAAACCCAGCTGCTTATGCAGAGGATTCCTAATGGAAATCAGGATGAAAGCAAGATCTCTGGCTTTATGAGGAGTCATCTTGTTGAGGAGTAATCCTTCCCCAAGCCTATTCTCCAGCTGAAAAATAAGCTGATTTTAGTGACGCTGCCCTAAAATGTGATAAGCATTAAACTCTCTGTTCAAGTTTGTAATTAGTGTCTTTCCCAGTGTTCCTGGCTTGTGCTGCTCAGCCTGCGAGGCAGCTTTGGCTTGCAGAGCTGAGTGGCAGCTCAGTAGTCCACATGTACATAAAATACATTCTCTTGTTTCCAGCAGCCCACAGATTGCTCCTTGCAAGTGGATGATGTGTTTCTGTGGGGTGCATAGGTAGTCAAGGGGGTTTTGTTCCCATTCCTGCTTGTGTCGTCCTCCCTTCATTAAAGCACAGACTGTCTTGAGGGAGGATTTTGCTGCTTGCTGATGAACCTTCTCCTGCCTCCCCCCTCAGCAGTGAAAGCTCTTTTGTCATTCAAAGGTAAAGAGGGGAGAAGAGAAGCCATTAGCACTGCCACTGAACTGTAAAACGAAGGTAACAATAGGATGATGGGAGCAGGGCTGAGCCTGCTGAGGTGTGAAAAGACAAGCTAGGCTGCTGGGTGGCATGGAAACATAAGAGGTGACAAGGAAACACTTCTTACGCCTGCTCTGAGCTGAAAAGGGAGAGGATTTGCTTTTCTGACAGTGGCCATCGGTGGGGAAGGTGTCATTAACATACAGCATGTAAGGGTTGTCCAGGTCCTAGGTGGATTGAGAGGCTCTTCCATGTGTTCTGTGTGATGGTGTGAGGATTCAGCGTTGTTCCAAAGAGCTCTTTGTTCACATTTACTGGTCATTTTGAGTCTTGTGCCTTCAGCCCCCAGAACCTCAGTCTCTTGATTTTAAAGCTTGGTCAGTATAAGCTTTCCTATCAGAAGCATTGAAACCTCTCCTGAGAGGAAAGGATTGAGTTTAAAATCTAGGTGGCCTGTTCTGAGATAAGGAAATGGGGGAAGAGCCATTTCTCTGTTGTGCTTACCAGGCTGATGTTAAAAGGGTGATGTTCAAGTGTTAGTTGATTTCGTTATCTTGCATTTGTCCCCTCTTATCTGCCCCTAAACTCTGCTTAACACCCTCTGTGTAGGGCGTAGGAGCAATGTCCCTGAGCCTTTGCTGTCGGTACAGAGTGGCTGCCAAGTAACTGGTCATGCAAAATCATAACAGGTATTTGGAAAAGATAACGTTGGGCAAATAATTCTGCTCCCTGGAGGCTCTGTGGGGAAAGGCCTTTTGACTCAGAAGTGTTCCCAAAGTGTAGATGAGGCCCTCAGCTCCATGGTTTAGTGATGGACAGTGGTTGGACTTGATGATCTCAAAGGTCTTTTCCATCCTGGTTGATTCTAAATTGAGTTGTGGTGGAAATGCAGGCTGAATGCTGCTCAGTCCAACTAATACAGAGGCTGGAGAGCAGGCTGATGCTCTCCCTTCTTCCTCAAAAGCAACGGTCTGGTTTTAAGGCAGTGCCAACACTTCATCACGCTGGTGAGGTGGTGGTTATCTAAAGGATGGCATGCAGTGTATTTGCTGGCTCTGCTTGTACCCTGGGCTTTAAGCTTTGTAGCTTTGCTTTTTCCAAGCCTGCTGTGTTCTGGTTAGGACAGGAGCATCCGAGTCAGGGAATGTGCTGCAGTTGATCCTGAATTAAACCATCTGGAAACACAACAAGACTTGCTCAGATGCCCAGATACTGAAAACATAGATAACACCCGTGCCATGTAAAAGTGTCCAGGCTGTTACAGCACCCAAGAGCATGACATAGCTTTGCTATGGTGCTTAGAAAGTGGCCATTAAGTGGTTTGAAAACGTCCATTTGCAGATGCAGTGTTTTCAAAGCTCTCTATGGAAACCCTTCAGTCAATCCTGGCTCATCCATGAACAACTGTTTAACTTGCACTGGAAACTTTAGCCTTCAGTGCAGCCTTAGGGGTCAGATAATGTTTCAGCAATTAGCCCCTATTCCTGTTCTTAGAATCCCAGACTGGTTTGCATTGGAAGGGACCTTAAAGCTCATCCAATTCAAGCCCCCTGCAACAGGAAGGGGACACCTTCCACTGGAGCAGGTTGTTCCAGCTTGGAAACTCCAAGGCTCTGATTTTCTGTCCCCATTAAGAATACACTGAACTTTCAAGGCACTTGTGCAATGTGTGTTTTAGTGGAGCTCTGATGGTGGCGTTGGTGTCTGTTAAGACATAGGTGAACTGTGGATGCTTCTTGTTTTTCAGTGGGGGAGTTTGTAAGCGACGTCCTGCTGGTGCCAGAGAAGTGCCGGTTCTTCCACAAGGAGCGGATGGATGTGTGTGAAAGCCATCAGCACTGGCATACTGTGGCCAAGGAGGTAAATGACCTGCTGTGGCAGCAATATTTATCATGGATCCATCCCCTTGGATGTATTGGAGCACCCCAGCGTTCATCTCTGGGGTCTGTCATTCCCATATTGCAGCCTGCAGCCTGAGGCAGAGAGCAATGAAAAGGGAAGTTAAAAGCACTCAAGTGACTTAAAACAACCTCTGCAGCTAGCTGAGTTACCCCTCACTCACGAAAGGAGCTTGCCCAGGATCATACCCTAGGATGGAGCTAGGAATAGAAGTCAGGTCTCTAGGATATTGCTTTAACCAGGGCTCATCCTTCTTTCCAGGTTAGAGAGCCACCGTGTCCATGGCTGGTTCCTATTTCCCTTGCACATTAAGCATTAATGTACCTGCTGCTGCAGGGGATTTGGATGGCAGCACTTGCTTGGGGACAATCCGAGTTCCTGGTGCCTGATTAGTGGAGGTTTTACATAAGAGATGGATTATCTTCTCAGAATAAATCTAGCCTGGGGTTGGGGGGGGGTGTTGTGTGTTGGTTTTTAATCTGACTAGCATAAAGGTTGCAGATTCTCTGCACACCCTTTTGAGCTGGGGTAAAGAAAGCAAGATGCATGTGTTGAAACAGCAGCACAATGATCAGTGATGTGCTAGTGAAGAAGAGGTTAAAGATGCACCGGTTAAACCTATTTCTTTAAAATCCCAGGGGCAAAACCCAATTGAAATAAAGCTGTGCTGAAGCAATCCCCTTTTAACTGGGGGTGAACTTGTTGATGGCGAGCATATTTAAAAGTCACTCTGCTTTTGACAGAGTTGGAGACCTTCTCCAGAAATATGTGGCTCATTTTCCATCCGTGCTGTAACAAAGCAAAGCACAAAAGGGTTCTGATGTGCATAATAAAGCCTTTCTTACTTCATTCTTTTCTGGGGCACCACAAAGCCATGTGTTTCCTTAGCTTACGAGACGTTTATAGATGCAAGGTCTGATCACAGTTTGCATTTGGCTTTTTCGTGAATTATCAGATTGATTTTCATCTTCAGCATGTTAAAATAATCTTGACATAAAGTCCATTGGAGTGATTATTCACTTACTGCAGTGTAAAGTGTAATAAATAAAGTTTAATGACATGGCCAGCCCAGAAATGCAAACAGCAGCTCTGCTGCTTTGGAATGCTCCTTCCCTGGAGTTGGTACAAAATGTTCTGAGCTTGAATCTGGGACTTCCCTTCAGATGTTGATTCAGCTACAAGATTCACATCCGTTTTCCTTTGATATTAGACTTGGGTTGTGTGTTGCTGTTGTCTTTTTGCTCACAAGTATAGACTGTTGGTACTAATCTCAAGGTCTGTGCTAGGCAAACTTCACCTTTATCCAAAGCAAGAGCATGATGCTGAACTGACACAAATGGGCTCCTCTTTCAGGCCTGTCTGACAGAAGGGATGATCCTGCACAGTTATGGCATGCTGCTGCCCTGTGGAGTAGACCAGTTCCATGGAACAGAATATGTATGCTGCCCTCAGGCAAAGGTTGTGGATGAGGCTCTGTCCAAAGAGGAAGAGGATGAAGATGAGGATGAAGACTATGACCTCTATAAAAGGTAGGGTTGTACTAGCACAGATGGTGACAACTCTGTATGTGAAGGGGCTGTTAGTGAATATTTCACCCTTGTGAGGATAGAGAGGAGAATTCCTGTGCTTTTGAATTTCCCAAAGGAGCATCCTGAGCCTGAACGAGCCTTGCAGAAGGACAGATGACTTTGCAGCACTCCTATTAGCAGAGGAGCTGAACAGTCCCCCCCCCACTCCATCCTCAGACAGTCAAAAAGATTGACTGTGACAGCAGTTACCTCCCCTGATGGTAGAATTTCACTTAGTGATAAGAAGCTGATGAGGAAATGCAAGTAACCTCCACTAAGCCAGAGGCATGGAGAAGCTCTGCCTGCAGTAGGTGTGTCTGTAGTGAGGGAGGTCCCATCACTGCAGTCAGTGGGCTGATCAATAGTTGGTCCATTAATTTTTCCCATCTCCTGTGTTTCTAGAACAGATGAAAAGCAAATCATTAACACTGGTACATCAAAGGTTGTCTGCAGAGTGATCAGTCTTAACTTTAAACCCTGTATCCCTTCAGTGAGTTCCCTACAGAGGCAGGTGTAGAAGACATCACAGGAACAGCTGTGGAGGAGGATGAGGATGAAGAAGATGAAGGGGAAGAGGAGGAGGACGTGGTGGAAGACCGTGATTACTACTACGATAGCTACAAAGTGGATGATTACAACGAGGAGACCCCCACAGAGCCAAGCAATGACAAGGCTGCTCCTGAAAAGGAAGTCAACAGTGACATGAAATGTAAGTGATGTTCCAGCCTGCAGGCCTCTGGCTTCCCTGAATCATCTCCTTGGTCATAGGTTCTTGATCAAGTCACTCAATGCCACCTGGAGGCTGTATTTGCCAGATGAGTTAGCAAACAGAGGAGAAGCTGATGATGCTTGTGTTTCAGGTGATGAAATGAACTCTCTAGAGCATCCTCCATGAAGGTGCAGTTTTGGGTCAGAAGAACCATAGCTGCATAGGCTGCTTTTTGGAAAACCCTAGGCATTTTGGGGACGCTCTGAATGTCAAATCCTAGTTTAGGGCGATCATGATGGTGCTGAGGTGCTGGCACAGGGTGCCCCATCCCTGGCAGTGCTCTCAAAGCCAGGTTGGACACAGGGGCTTGGAGCAAGCTGCTCTAGTGGAAGGGGTCCCTGCCTGTGGCAGGGGGTTGGAAGTGGGTGAGCTTTAAGGTCCCTTCCAACCCAAACCAGGCTGGGATTCTGGGATTCAACACCAGTTGACAAAAGGAAACTAAAAGCAGTGGGCTATATTCTGCAGGGGTGGCATAAAGGTGCTTCCTGGCCATTTAAGAGGAGCATATTTGGTGCTGCCTTTGCATAAACCCTTCTCTTTCCTGCAAGAAAGCCAGCCAGCACAATTGGCCTGCTTCTATTACACGGGTGACCCAGGCTTTCTGCAGTAATATTATATACTGTGCTTAAATGGTAGGTGCCGTTGCAGAGGGCACCTGCTGGTTGTGTGGTGCCTCAGCGTTATACGATGTCCTCTCCTTTGCGTGTAGAAGTGTCTGCAGAGGAAGGAGGAGGGGAGAGGGAATGAAATTCAATTAGCTCCAGATCACTGCATCCTTGCCAGCACTTCTTGCATCTTCCTGGTACAATGCCAGCATGCTGCAGATAATTTTACTTGCTGAGACAAGGCTTAGCTCATGTATGTCCAGGACTGTTACAGCTCTGGTGTTGAAACAGCCTTGGAGCCATCTGATTGGGGGGTCTGTTTTGGGGTTCCACAGTCTTTTTTTCCCCCAAAGTGCCACTAACAGTTGCTAAATCACACGCTGTATCTGTTCTCTTGCCTCAGAATAACCCAGTTACGTGCCTGCTCATTGTGAAGCAGCCCACATACCGTGGCTACCTGGAGTTTCAATGGTTAGCATATAGATGTTTCCAAACTGGAAAACCTAGCAGCTGAGATCGCCATGGTGATCACGTTCCTTGTGCTTAGCCTGCCTTTTTGCTTGCTCTTATACCTCACCTTTAAGATGTGGAGTGGCTATCCAGGCAGAGTGCAGACAACAGGACATGTTGGGATGCTTTAAGCGGCCCTAATGGGTTTTCCTTCCATCATGTCGGTTTTATCTTTCCATCGTGCTGGGATGCCTGAGGCATAACACTGTGACATCAGCCAAACAGATCCTTGTTGTTTCAGCCTCTAGCTAAGGAGAAATCACTCAAAGCACCACGTATAGGCACCTTCCTAGCAAGCCTTGGGGTGAATGCTTTTGTAGTGTTGGATATCCCCCTCCAAAACTGACAGAAGCCCTTTGGCCGGTGAAGGTACAAAGTAGAGCCACCCCCGTGTTGTATGAAGTGCTCAGCAGGGCTTGTGCTCATGTTCTAACCCGTCTCCACACAGCTGTCTGCTCCCAGGAGGCGATGACAGGGCCCTGCCAGGCTGTGATGCCTCGTTGGTACTTCGACCCTAACAAGAGAAAATGCATTCGCTTTATATATGGAGGCTGCGGAGGCAACAGGAACAATTTTGAGTCAGAGGAGTATTGTATGGCTGTGTGTAAAAAGATGAGTAAGTCCTGCCTCCCACTGGCCCTTTTGCAGCTAGCCACTGTCTGTCTGGCGTTTGGTGTCTCCTCCTCCTTGCCTAGGTCAAGAGAGGACACGTGTGTAGCTTATCCTCTTGGTCCTGGTGTCTGCAGCAGTTCCGTCTGTCCTTTTGCAGCAGTCTCCTCCTGTCTCCGCTTCTCCGAGTCTTTAGGGGTGAGCTTTCCTAGGGTGTATGGTGTCTGTGCTCTCCGTTGGCTTGCAGCTCTTCCTAAGGGTGTAGTTGTCCTCTTCCGGATCTACAGCAGGGATTATGGGCTGTCTCTCTTGGGAAAAGGCATAGCAAAGGTATGGAAGGAAGCACTTGCTTTCCCCAGTGGTGTTCCATCCATCGTCTGTCCTCAAAAGCAGGCTGCCTCCTCGCTGTTCTCCCGGTAGTGGGCACTTTCTTGCTATTGCATTTTGAGAAGGTATTGGAGAAGGAGCCTAGAATTCAGATTCCCACTTGCAGCTTGGTTTGAAATATGAATCATGACTCAATCCCTGTGTTTTTGAGAGCTTGAGGTTTTTGGCACCAGCTTCCAGCGGCTTTTATGTCAGATGATAAAACTACCCCAAACCATTTTAACCTCCTTATTAATCTTATTGTTGAACTCCAGCACTTCCACTTCAGCTCCCATAAAAGCCTTTTGAAAGGCTTTTTGTGTTATCTGGGGCTTGGCAGTCTGACTCCACAGCCATAATCCTGTTTACAGAATGGGCTTCATGCAAGTGCTTTAGATTGGGCTGATCTCACCGAGGCGGTGAAATAAAAGATGCGGATGTCAGGGGCTTTTTGTCTGAAACTTTGTCCTGTAACAGAGGGATTTGGGGCTGGGAAGAGGCTTCTCTGTGTCCAAGCCTGGTTCAGGAATGCCATGAGCCGGCCCAGAATATGGTACTGATCTCATGGTGTCCCTTGCACACAACTGGAATACCTGTGTGTTATGTTGCTGTTACTTCAGTTATCCTTTCCCCTTTTCTTCACTCCTTCTTCCCTAGTTAGAATAAAGGTTGTTAGATTCAGGTACATCTAAGCTGCTGAAGTGCCAGGTAATTCTTTTCCTGAAGCATTCAATTACATATTGAAGGGTTTTTCCACCCAAATAACTAATGTTACTCCCCTTTCTGCCCTCCCTCTGCTGAAGGGCAGCGATGGAGAGCATCCTGTTTGCCATAGGGCCGTTGGGAAAGGGCTTTGGGATGTGTAGCTTCTAAAACAGAGCACAGAAACTTGATTCAGCATATCCTGAACTGCAGTTTGTGGATTACAGATCCCCCATTGTGGAGTCTGCATTGTGGATTATTGGATAATGCTTGGAATTATCAGCTCTGAAATTGTGTTTCTCCCCTTGTCAAAATTGAATGTCTTAAAAGATACCAACAGTCCAGTTTATTGGATGAGCCAGCTTGTCACACTGAGCCTCCTTCTGTTGCTGTCTTGTCTAATATCATTGCCTGTTAGTCCTGCATGGTGCATCTGGTAGGGAAGGTAGGTTTGAAGTGTCAAATATTATGCAGTGTTTTGTGCAGACTTATTTTTAAGCTCCCTGATCGTATTAATGGTGTCTGGAGCCAGCTTGTCAGCGAGCTGCTAATGCACAAAGTGTCATTTAAACTCTCCAAAGCTAATGTGAAAGGGAAGAGAGAACAAGTTCTTTATTCTGCAATCCAAGTCGTTCTGTTGCTGGAGCTGAATAATGCTCATCCCAGAACTAATGGGAGGACCGGTTGCCGCAGTGCATTACCGTGCTTTGGGGATGATGGAACTAACTGGTGCTGTGCAGTAAATTGGCAGCTCAGTGGTACCAAACTGGACTGCTGGTAGGTGGTGGTTCAGTAAACTCAGCCTGGCAGATTGTTAATGGTACAGGAATGGAGCTTTCCTCTCCCTCCCTATCCTTTGCCATCCAGGATCACGGGGTTCTGCACTGCTGCTTACCCTTACCTTCTCTTTGCAGTGCCAACCGATGATGTGGATGTCTACTTTGAAACCCCAGCTGATGACAACGAACATGCCCGCTTCCAGAAGGCAAAGGAGCAGCTGGAGGTCAGGCACCACAACCGTATGGACCGGGTGAGCATCTAGCTTTGGTCCTTTATCAGCTGTGTTCGGAGAAATTGATGGTGGACGGGTGATGATGGACTCCGTGCACCAGCCTTTCATGTTGCTTGCAATATGGCAGTTAGATTCTCATTTCTTCAGGAGTTTTGGGAGAAGGGAATCAATGGGGACACTTGGCTTGCTGCTCAGTGGGTTGAAGGGCTAGGTTTAAACCCCGCTGCAGCACTGTTTTCCTAGCCAGGCTGTACAGGGATCTGCGTGCGAAGGCAAATAAGCTCGCAAAGATCAGATGTTGATTTGGGTTCTGTCCTTTCTTTGCCCAGGTGAAAAAGGAATGGGAAGAAGCAGAACACCAAGCTGTCAATCTGCCCAAGGCGGAAAGGCAGACTCTCATTCAGGTAAGAGCTGAAGGACGTAAAGAGGGAAGTTACTGGTGCTTGGCCACCTTCTTCTCAATAGAGGTCAAAGTGTTCAAAGCCAGCGGGCAGCTGAGATGGAAGAACAGCTTTCCTGTTCTGTCAGCAGCTGCCTCGTAGAGCAGATTTGATTCAAACGCATGCTTTGTTCTTAAAGCTGGAGATGAGCTGATACTGTGCCAGGTCCTTCCCTAAACCCAGCAATAGAAGGCTGTCTCACCCTTCAAAGCACAGCAGCACCAGAGCCAAATTGTAACTTCAGCCCTTTGGCCTGCTCCACACTAACCAGGGGCCTCACAGCCCGCTTCAGATTGGCCCCGACTCTCTGGACACACATTTCCTGTTTGGGCAGACTTAGTGAAAACCACTTAGCCAGCAGATAAAGCTGGTTTGCTGCCAAAGTGCCAATCTTCTCCCTTATGAGGAATGTTCAGTTAGACTGCAAAGTTAATCAGGGATATTCTCAGTGTGGGATTGCTGGGGGCAGGGACAACTCTGGGAAGTTCCCTCAAAGCAATATCCATCTGAAGGGATGGACCCTGCTTTGGATTTCAGCCTGGAACACAGTTTTATCTCTAGATATTTTAACACAAGGCACTGTTTGGAAACAGGGGCAAGTCGAAAAGAGTTTGTCATCATCTCTGTTGAAACGTAACAACTCTTAATGGACTTCTCTGGTTTGTTTGGAGATGTGGGTTATGACCTTTCTAATAGACTATATAGAGGTTGGTCTGAAGGAGGACTGATGAAGCATCCCTTATGTGAACTTCTGCAAGTTCAGGTTATTGAAGGGATCAATCCTGTTTCCATATTGCAAGGTGAAGGGAAAGAGTTAATACCAAGTCATCAGTTCAACACAGCTGGATCTCCCAACATGGGCCACATGCCTCCTTCAGACCTCACAAGCGCCTTGTGAAGGCAGTTTGGAAGGCAAACAGTCACTGTTGAATTTGCAGAGATGAAATCTGCATCAACCTTTCGCAGTGCCCTTCTCCCCTGCTATGAATACCTAGGACACGCAGTGTGACAGGCTCCCTTTGTTCACAGGAGGAGCGAGAAGAGGTGACCCTGATGCCTGCAGCGCCTTTCATGCCCTTTCTTTGTTGCAGCACTTCCAGGCAATGGTGAAATCCCTGGAGAAGGAGGCAGCAAGCGAGAAGCAGCAGCTGGTGGAAACTCACCTTGCTCGTGTGGAAGCGATGCTGAACGACCGCCGCCGCATCGCTCTGGAGAACTACCTGGCTGCCCTGCAGGCTGACCCACCACGGGTGAGTTTCCTTGCAGGGTGTAAGGTGAGAAGGCTGCCACTGGGGCTTGCCAAGGCAGAAGCTGGGAATAGGTTCTGTAAAGCTTCCTCCAGCATGGCCCTTTGTGCAGACTTAGATGAGTCTCCAATGGGACTCCTCCTTTCTGCCTGCCTAAGAACCCCACTGCTTTGTTTGGTGTTCCTAAGGCACAATACCAGAGTTAACATAAAGAAAACGGGTGTTTTCTCAAGTGCTGTCAATTGGCTCCAGTGGATCTGAACTCTTCCCCTCCTCCAATCCCACAGCCCCACCGCATCCTGCAAGCTCTGAAGCGCTACGTTCGGGCCGAGAACAAGGACCGGCTGCACACCATCCGCCACTACCAGCACGTCCTGGCCGTTGACCCAGAAAAGGCTGCACAGATGAAATCTCAGGTATAAAAACCTTTCTATCAAGGGAGGCATTGTTAGCCAGGCCTGGCTGTCAGAGGATTTGGAAGCTGTGCGTTAGCTGGGTGCTATAGCAACTTCTCATTCTTGTGCAGAGATCTTTGTGTCATTGTATGCTGTCTGTACGAGTTTCCTCGGTGCTTAGTGCTCAAAAAGACAATTCTGGTGTATGCAGGAGTTATTGTTGGTGACAAGGACAAATCTAGGGGTTTAGAGTAAGTTTGGTGTCATTTTCATGCTTCCTTTTGTCAAACACCCATGAATTTGCTGGGGACTTGGTCATCCTTGAACCTGCCTCACTCCTTCCTGTACCTCATGTCTATGTGTTCCTTTCATCAGGCTGCTTCTTCACATGCCTGTGTTTTTGGTTTGTGGGAATCTTTTATGCCTCTGCAGAGTTACTGCCTTGGTTCTGAAGCATAGTCCATAACCCTTGCCAAGCATTTGATCATCATTGTTGACTATAATAGAAGGCCTATTTTTGATGAGTTTATTTTGTGCTGTTGCGATACATTTTGCTCCTGAACAGGCAGAAAGTCATTTTCTTTGTGCTGGGTACTGTCTGTGAATGTGCTGCTTCAAGTGGATGGCAAACCTGGCCATTGGTACTTGGAAGATTCGCTGCAGCTATTCCACAAGTCCTTTGAATTACATCCTGGCACTTGGTTTTCACAACCCACCTTTCAAAAGGTGGAAGGTGTACTGAAAGGCCTAAGTAAGAGTCGAGATAAGAATGTCCAGTTAATGTTAAACAGGTGTGTTCATAAGGGTACGTCCGTTCACGAGGTCAGAGAGCACTGCTTGTGTCCAGTTACAGCTTCAGGAATGTAACCTGTGTTCCACCAGTCCCAGCTGGGGGTGGGTTTGCTGCTTTTGACTTCCCTTTGAGCTCTGTCATGCATGAAAGATGTGCCAGAATAGAAAAGAATGGAGAGCTGCAAGGAGACAAGGTGGTGGAGCTCATCCAAATGGAAAGAGAGAGGAAAAAAATACCTCATTACTTGGCTTTGTAACCAGTGAATGGAAAGATCATGGTGGAAGAGCAAGACAGGGACTGGAGCCTGTTGCTGTCACCTCTAGTGAGGTGTAGTCATGTTGCAGTGACTTTGTAGAAGCAAAGCTCACCCTTGGAGGTGTCCTGATGGGTTCCTGTTGTTCCTGGGTGCTAGCAGTGTACTTTCAGTGTCCCTTGGGTTATCTGCCACTGCTGCTCGGATCCTTGCCAAGCTGCACATCCTGGTGGTATTTGCAAGGTGCTGTTTGCCTTGCGGTGTTCAATACGCGGTAGCTGCTTTCAGAGGCAGCTTAGCATAGCAAGCACGGCCCACCCTGACCCTTTGTTCTGAGCTGCCAAAGCCCCGGAGAGCCCGTGTGAACTGTGTTCTTAAGCTAAAACCTAAACAGTCCTTAATTCATTCTGAAGGCTGCAGTGTCAACAGATCGACAGGGGAGGGATGTGGGTGGGACAGTTCAATTTCCATTCCCTTTGCTTTTCCGAGGCACTTTAAGCGCCTCGATCGATTCCTTTGATTGACAAGCTGCCACATGTAAAATGAAATTGCTTTCATCCTTGCTCTTAAAGGTCAGGCACACGTCAGACTGTAAAACAGGGCCTTTCAACTCCTTTAATTCAGCCTTAGGGTGGCCAGATACATGGTTTTCGTTGTCTACGTGATCCCTGATTATGCAGCACCCTCTTCAGGTCAGGCCTGACTTCACCAGCGAATCTTCTCTGGGGAAGAGCGATTTGAGGTTGCCTGCAGTTGGAATTCATTTCTCAGATGAAGGGAGAACGCTGTTGGCAGGGAGTGGGTGTAGTGGGTGTAAGACAAATGTAATGCCACCGTTGTTCTGAAAGGCACCTTTGTTCTGCAACCAGAGTTGATAAATAATATTGTCTGCTCCCTTTGTGTGTATCTCTTCTAGTAGTCAGGAATGATAATCCATTTAATAAAGCACTTGCTTGTAGCTGCTGCAGGAAGTGAATTATGACCGTGTCTGGTGTATGGGGAATACCAGCTCCAGCATTTCCAGTGGAGAGGTGGTTACAGCAGGAGTCAGCCACATCCTCTCTGTCTGCTCCCAGCCTTTCCCAAAGCACCGAGAGGGCCATGCACAAATGACCAGTTCCAGTAGTGATGTGTTAGAGACTGTCACCCAGAGAATGGGGCTAGAAGGACCCGTGTCCCATTCTGTTGTCTGTGATGGCAGATCCATCACCAGTAGCAGATGCTTAATGGAAACAAGTGAAGGACTGGTACCAGTCGAGTGACTGACAGTCTTTGCCTCCTCCAACACACTCTTGTACATCTGCAGGTGATGACACATCTCCATGTGATTGAGGAGCGGATGAATCAAAGCTTGTCTCTGCTCTACAAGGTGCCATATGTGGCTGAAGAAATCCAGGATGAGATTGGTGAGTGCCTCTGTGCCAGCTCAGCTCACCACTGTGTTAGACAAGCTTTCATAGCAAGCTCCAAAAAGATGGCTAGCTCCTTCGAGGGGATGCCCTCAACAACAGGCTTAGGCTTAGGTACCACAGGGTAGATACTCTCAGGGTTTTAGATGCATAGAATCACAGAATGGGTTTGGATTGGAAGGGATCTTAAAGCTCATCCAGTTTCAACCCCTGCCATGAGCAGGGACCCCTTCCACTGGAGCAGCTTGCTCCAAGCCCCTGTGTCCAACCTGGCCTTGAGCACTGCCAGGGATGGGGCAGCCACAGCTTCTCTGGGCACCCTGTGCCAGCGCCTCAGCACCCTCACAGGGAAGAGCTTCTGCCTAAGAGCTCAGCTCAGTCTCCCCTCTGTCAGGTTCAAGCCATTCCCCTTGGCCTGTCCCTACAGGCCCTTGTCCCAAGCCCCTCTCCAGGTTTCCTGCAGCCCCTTTAGGCACTGGAGCTGCTCTAAGGTCTCCCCTTCAGGAGCCTTCTCTTCTCCAGGCTGCCCCAGCCCAGCTCTCTCAGCCTGGCTCCAGAGCAGAGCTGCTCCAGCCCTTGGAGCATCATCATGGACTCACTGGAGCAGGTCTCTAGCTGACTGGCAATGTTTTGCAACACATCCAGAGCAGCTTGGACCTAAGAACTTCCACTGTTGGTATCAAAAAAAGCCAACAGCATTCCAAATAGCTAAGCCCTCTCTCAAAAAGGAGATGGAAAAGATCCATAAAACCAGGCAGATGCTTTAACCCCATCTTGCCAAAGCCTCTTGCCACATCAAAAAACCCCTTGGCTCTTATTTGTATGTATTTCTAGGCGATACCTTTACTTGAGAATTCCAGATGAGACTTGGGAGCATGCAGGATAAGATAACCTGGCAGCCCTCAGCAGCATTCCCTGCAGCCATCTGCCCCTGCCTGGCCCTGCCAGGCTTCATGCTGTCTGTGTAATATTTCCTCATACTCCTTTCAGATGAGCTGCTTCAGGAGCAGCGTGCAGACATGGACCAGTTCACATCCTCCATCTCGGAATCCCAGGTGGATGTCAGGGTGAGCTCTGAGGAGAGTGAAGAAATTCCCCTGGAGGGCAAACCTTTCCGTCCGTTCCAGGTGAAAACCTTCCCAGCCTTGCCTGAGAATGAAGGTACGTGGAACTGGAAACTGGCTGTGCACATTTTACCTTAGGCTTGGTGTGGAACAGGAAGCTCCATCCCTTTGGGTGATCCAAGAGGAAAGCAGCTGCCCCAGCAGTGCCCCTGGGAAGAGGCTTGTAACCTGCACTGAGCTTCTCCCTTGGTTTTCCCATGCTTCTCTGGTTTATCTCTTCCCATTTTGCAGGGAGTTTCCCATTCCGACTGCGTGGCTTGACTCTGCAATGCCTTTTCAGTCTTGAAGCAAATTGCTCTCGTGTTATATGAAGTCTTTGTGCCCTGTTGAAGGGCTGCAGGAGTTCTCTTGATTTAAAGCTGTGTTTTGTTGTAGGGCTGGGTGTTGACAGCTGGGGTGTGTGTGTGTGTTGGCTTTATAAATGCTTGGACAGAGTCCTGAGCTGAAAGAAGGCCGAGGGCTGAAAGCTTTTCCCAGGCTCTGAGTCAGAAATCATGCACAAGCCTTTTCCTTTCTCTCTTAATCTCCTTTCTCTGCTATTTTTGTTTTTGTTTTCCCTCCTGCTAGATCCTCAGACGGATTTGTACCACCCCATGAAAAAAGGTTGGTTCTAAGCTGCTCCCTCACAGTGCTTTCGATCACACTCCTACCTTCTCAGTGTGTCTGGTAGCTTCATGTTAGTTCCATCCTCACCTTGATTCTCATTTCCCTGCTCTCATTTAGACCAGTAACTTTCAGCTGTTCTTGTTTAGACCTAGTGTTAAAGATACCAGCTAGTCTGAGCATCTCATTGAGTGCGTGTGTTCCTCCCTGCCAGGCTCACAAGGTGTCTTGGAGTAGCTTATTTTGCCTGCAGCATCTTCAGTTGGGCACTTGGCACAGGAAAGCTCACTGTGGTGGTGGAAAAGAGTCTGGAGGCTCCTGTCCCTGCTGTGGAATCCGTCCTTGGTGACAGCACTAAACCTGGAGTCGGTGCCACAGCAGACACGGGTTGTGTTTCCTGGCTGAGTGTCCTCATAGATGCCATAGAGTGCAGCTAGTCTTGGGACGTATGAATTAGGAGATTCCTTCTTTGCAGTCTCCTCAGCATCCCCTTTCCACTTGTAGCATCTCTCTGTACTGGTAATGTCTTGTGTGATCATCCATTTCTCATTTAGCTCCTTATTAATGCTGCAGGAGCTCAGTGCCTGGCTAAATGGGGCTGCCTGGGCTGGAAAAGCAGCATAGAAATACTGGCATGAAATCACCATCCTTGTTAGTGGTACAGTCTCAGGTGAAGATGAGGCCTGGCTGATCTGCTACCATGAATCTCATTCCTGAAGTGGAAATTGCAGGCTAATTGCTAAGATGCTCTTGCAGAGCAGTGGTAGGTGTGCTGTGTGTGGGAAGCAAGCCCAGCATTTTAATGTGCCTTTGGTTACAAACACATTGTGCAGAATCTCAAAGGGAGAGCAAAGGATTCTGCTAATAACATTGAAAATGAACACGGTTTTGTAACACTGAAGGCCAGAAAGCTTGGAACTATTCTCATTATCAGCCTTTCACTACAAACGTAAGTCACCTTCATCCCTCGTGTGGAGCAGCATCCAGCTGATTCAGTGCCCTGACTGCTCTGCAAGGAATTAGGACAGCCTTTAGTTTGACTATTCTTCCTTTGGACAAGTGCTTTGTTGACTTCAAGGTGATCAATACAGGCTGGTGCTCCTTGTTTCATAGAATCATGGCATGCTTTGGAGCTTAAAGCTCATCCAGTTCCAACCCCCTGCCACAGGCAGGGACACTTCCACTAGAGCAGCTTGCTCCCAGCCCCATAGGAGAGTTTGTGATGACTTAGGGACAAAGATCATATCTGCACTTGCTCCCTATGTCTACATTGAATTTCAGGAGGGCTGCTAGGGAGTTTAATGGGAGATGTTGTGCCTGTGTGTGGGTTTCTTTCCCCTGGGAAGTGTAGAGTCTAAAGTGTGCCTTTGAGCTACATAGAACTGGGTCTGTTATTTGGTACAGCACACTGTGACAAATAGCAAAGCTCAGAACTGCCAGCCCTGGAGACTCTGCTGCGTTGGCTCCTGAGGATTGACTAAAGCAGCCATAGGCCAAAAGCTGACACTGTAGTTCTCTAAAAGTTATTTGTGGCCTCTCCAGAGGGTGCCCATCATTGCCTTTCACAATAACACGACCTGCTTGGGCAGCTGGGAGAAGTCAGACCAGCAGCCTTGGCCGTGCTTGGAATCTGATTACGGTCTCCAAAGAGCTGGGTAGGGAAAGGGGATGCACAAAAACCCCTGAGATGCTTCTTTTGGGGGGAGCTGGGGTGAAACCTTTTGTTTCCTTGGCTTTTTCAGGCAGTGAAACCTTGCCTTGGAGCCAAGCAGCCTCTCCTTACATCTCATCAAAGAACACGCTGCCAATCTGACATAATGTCTTAGGCAACCTGCAAGCTCAGCAGCTTGTGGAGAGGTGTCTGCAGCCACTGGCAAAGTGTGAAGTGCTGTAGCAGCATTGCCCCACCTCATGCTCTGCACTGGGGAGACCCCACTGTTGGTTTGAGGCTTTGCTGTCCTCCTGCCTTTGCACTAGGGAGGTTTAGGTGTTGCGAAGGGCGCTGTGTTGTCCCTGCAGGTGATGGGAACTAGGCTTCCTCCTATGTTAGGTCTTTGTATCTTGCATCAGACTCTTCTCTTATTGATCCAATCTATTTATAAACGCTTCAGATCCAAACAGTTTATGCAGAGCAGCTGCCTCCTGTTAGTTGATAGTCCTCTCTTGATCCTCTGCTAGTTTCAGCCTAGAAATGGGTGAGTTATGCTCTGGTACAAAGGCTGGTGTAGCTCTTCGCTCCTCCCTTGCCCTGGGATTCATTGTTTCTGGGCTTGTGCCAGATAAGGGACAGCAGTTCATTATGGAGCTGGGTGACCTTGAAATTCCCATTCCAGAGGCACTTGCTGTTGCAAAAGAATGGGTGCCAGCATTCCCTATGTGCTGGCTCCCAGCATGGAGATGTGTGCCTCCAGCACGGGGTCACAGTGAGGTGGTGCTGACATCTGCAGAAGGGAGCTGCTCGCTCACACTTTAACACATTGCCTTGAACCTTCTAACAGCAGCACTTAGCGGTAGATGGTGGTTGTGGATTGACACCTCAGCCTGGTTTTGGTGAGTCTTGTCTGCTCCTCTCATTGCCACCTCATTCCCATCCATTAACAGACCTCCCCCCCAGTCACTTGTCACTGTAGCATAGCTTCCGAGCTCCCCTTCTGACACAACAGCATGAAGACAGGTTAATAACCAGCGGTCCATGTGGTTAAACACATTAACCATGGCAGCTCTACAAAGAGTAGGTCACCCTTCCCAAAGTCACTGGGTAATGGTCCGTGCCTTGCTCTTCTGGTGCAGGTTCTGGCATGACTGAGCTGGATGGGCTGATCGGCGCTGAAGAAAAGGTGATTAACAGCAAGAAGAAAGTGGATGAAAATGTGGTGAGCCCTCCACCTTTCCTTTGTAAAGCTGAGATTGCTGGGGACACTAATTAATAGCAGTGGCTTGTTTCCATGCTTACAGAATGTCACTGCATTCGTTATCCATATGGTGTGGGGGAGTTAGTTTTCTGACTGTTGTAGGCTCTTAATACTGCTTAGCATCAGAAGGGTGGGAGGGTGAGGGAAGGAAAGAGATCCAGATCTCTGGCAGGCTGATTTAGTAACTGCTTTCCCAAGCAGAGACCCTCTGTATGGCTTGATTGGAGCTAGGTCTGAACACACTGTGGGATCCAGCTGTCTTCCCACCTCTTTGTCATGGCAAGAAAGGCCCTGCTGCCTTCTGAAGGGGTGCAAGCCAGTTGGTGTTAGCTCTATATACAATGTACAGAACTCATGAGGTTCTGGTGGCAGCCTTGCCTCAGTTCCCTGGGTCAGAAACCCAACACAGTTGGCTTTCGAGAGTTTCCTTTCAAGATTGTTATTATAGAATCATAGAGACAGAATGGTTTGAGTTGGAAAGGACCTTAAGATCATGTAGTTCTAACCCAAAAAAAAGGGTGTTTTTAAAGCCACAGGTTAGATCTTCCACAGCAGAGATGCTCTGTCCAAAGCTGGGTTTTCATTGGGCCTTTAGTTTAAGGTAGCCTGGATGTCCAGATGGCTTCAGTACTCACTTTAAATGTTGGAGAGCAGGGAAAAGATGGTTCTGAGTCTTTGTTAGTCTTCATTAAAGGTCTCTTCCGTGCTCCACATCCCTTCTGTCTTGTATGGCTCCCTTCATAAAGCACTTCTGTGGCTGTTCTCAGGTCATCGACGAAACCCTGGATGTGAAGGAGATGATTTTCAATGCAGAGCGTGTCGGTGGGCTGGTGGACGAGCCGGTACGTACATGGCTACCGAGTCCAGCGATGGGCAGGCTCCTAAAGTTGGGGTTTGGACCCTGGATGGTGCTGAATTTGGGGTTTGGTGCCTTGACACTGCTCTTGGGAGGTCATGCAGCACCCGCTTTGCTGCGTAGTGGTGTGAGCAGTAAATACGTGTTAGAACCTGACCTGTCTCTTGTGGAAGTGCTTTGTGGGATGGGGAAGCAGTGTGGGTCATTGCCTGAACAGGGAAACAAGTTTGTGTTGGTTATCCTTTTGGTGAAGTGTTTAGAGGTGAAATATTTACCCTGTCCAATGTAATCAGTCGTGTCTTGATGCCACAGATGGTTAAAGAGCTTTTAAGTCTTTATGCCACCTTTTAGGTTTAGCAGCACATCTTCCTCACCACTCTTCCTCCACTTTCTCCATTGCTCTCTTCCCTCCAGGATAATGACAACTCCCTCCGTGATGACTTCAGTTTCAGCAGCAGTGCCCTCATTGGCCTTTTGGTGATTGCTGTTGCCATAGCTACCGTTATAGTCATCAGCTTGGTGATGCTGAGGAAGAGGCAGTATGGGACCATCAGCCATGGGATTGTGGAGGTGAGAAACGACTCCTGCTCCATCACTGAGGAAGAAAATAGTCAGCATGGAATCACATGTTGTGTGGAGGGGGCGAAGATGGCAGGAGCTGCCAAGCCATCAGCAGCTCCAGTCCTAGCTAGATGGGGCTTAACTCTGTAGGTGCTGACATGTGCATCACTTACATATTAGCGTGCAGGTGTCAGTCATCATGCCATGGTGGGATCTGTCACTCCACAGCTGTATTCCCGGATCACAAGGAATTCAATTAGGTTTCCCTGCCTGGCTCAGGGTAGGATTTAGCAGTAAATAGGCTTTTCAGGCGATATCTTTAGCAGGGGAGTAAGTCAGTCAATCGTTAGCAATTTGTCCTCCCGACTAATGTAACAGCTATTAAGACGGAGCGAGGTTCCTCCTCCTTCCTTCTGCTCCCAACATGCACATTTCTAATGATGACTTAATGGTGTCTGCAGAAAGCTGCTTTCCCCCTTTGCCCAACTGATGCAGGAAATCATAACGACCTCTCTAATGAGAGAAGCAGGTCCCACACTTGTAACGTTGGCTCACTTAGGAAATGATTTGTGCAGGATAGCTCCAGATAGGCAAGAGCAGGAGTGCCTGAACAGGGGACTCTGTTAAGCTGATTGTTTTTTGTGGCTTAACCTTTTTCTCCTGTTTGCTGCTTGCTGTGGTATTTATCCTGTGTGTGCCCATCTTGGTACTGTGAAAGAAGGCCTTCGGGGTCCTCCTTTGAGCAGTAACCCTCTGTTCTTCCCAAAGGTTGACCCGATGCTTACCCCAGAAGAGCGGCATCTGAGCAAGATGCAGAACCACGGCTACGAGAACCCCACTTACAAATACCTGGAGCAGATGCAGATATAAAAGAGATGAAGATAACAGCAGCCCTGGCTGGGAAAGGCTCAGGGCGGAGGGCCAAAGTGGTCCAGCGTTTTGGATCAACTACTGACCAACAGTTGCTTCGAGAGGACTTCATCTTACATTCAGAACTCCTGGATCATTAAGACTATAATTACTACTGTAGAGTTGCAATTTCCATTCTTTTAAATGGGTGAAGAAATGATAATATAACAATATGATATATAAATCTCCTTAAATGGGAAAAAAATGGATCTATTGCAGATATTTGACTGAGATGTAGTTTTCTTTTTGGGTTTTTTTTTTGGTTTTGTTTTTTTTTAAATGATCTGGGCAATCCCAGTTCTGTTGTTCTGATGTCTGATACAAGCTCTATATATAGCAAATGGGAAACGTGGATTTTTATTTCAGGTAGACCACCTGCCTATTGAGGGTCCTTTGTCCCAGCCCGCCTTGTAAAAAGGAGACAGTCGTGGCTCTTGAGTCGTTTTGGCTTTTAGATATAAAAAGCAGCATTTGGGTTTTCCCCTTTGGAGTTTTGATTCGCCAAGCTAATTTCCCTGGGAGTTGCAAAGAGATTAATGTAGGGATAGGAACTGTGACACAGAAGGAAGCAATTGGGAATGGAAACTAACAAAAAACCCTGATAACAAGGAAAAAAAAAAACAGAAAAAGAGAAAAAAAGAGTAAAAAAATAAAGGAGACACCCCCCCCCCCCCATCTTCATATGCCAGTGGTGTGCACCCTGCTGCTTAGCAGCCTGGGCTCTAGGAATCAAAGACTCCCTGGAGGCAAGGAGTTAAAAGGCTTCTAGCATCTCTGTTTATAGTTCTTCTAGTGGAATGTTAGGACATGGTTTGTGCGCCCTGGGGCCTGCACATTCCCCCTGCCAGAGTCAGCTCTGCTCTAGAGCTGGAAGCTCCTGGGTATTGAATTGAAATCCTCCGCTCAGAACCAGTTTCCTTCAGTCCTCACCTGGCATTAACAGCCCCCTCTCGCTACTACTTTCTAATCCCCCCCCCAGCTCTCCTGCCTCACCAACGTGGTAAGTAGCTGAGAGGCTCAGGTTGCATCTCTCTTTGGCCTTTGCATCTCTCTGGGTGACACAGGGCCATGGGCACGGTTCTGGGTGGCTTTGCCCAGAGATGACAAAATCCCTGCAAGGTTCAGCCCCTCTGGGAGCTGATGGACATGGAATTGGCTGGAAGTGGGGAGGGAAGAGGGACAAGGTGCCTGCTTGAAGGCCAACGAGATGCATAGGCCCCGAGTAGAAGAACAAAAGGGGTGTCGTTCCACTCACCATCATGTCTTTGTAATGCTTGTATAGTTGGTGTTAATGCTCACGGCTTTTTTAAATCTGGAGGTTCTGGTAACCTGTGGTGTATTTTTTCTATTTTTCCTGTGATTTTTTTTTTTCCTTTCTTTTTCTTTTTTCCCCCTCCCCCCCTCCGTGTCTCTTCCCACTATGCACAGATTTACCTGCAAACTCCTTGGTGTGGTCTGTGGGGAATGTACAAAGTTTAAACACATCAATAAACACTTTAACTTCCAGAGCGTCTCTTCTCGTTCTTCCTGGGCTTGCCTCGTTTCCTTCCCATCCCTTGCTGAACCTGTGCAGATCTTACCCCCCTCCCTTTGTCCATAGTGCTCCAGTGAGAAGGAACATGATGACATTGAGAACATTGAGCTGTGCCCAGAGGTGTTTGTGATGCTCTTGGATCCTGTTGACCTTCATGGGGAGAAGGAGATGCGACTGAACCAACACCTGATGAGCACCGTGTGTGCAGGTCAGTGAGAATGGTTGTCCTCTGTTTGTCCAAGGTACCCTGAGTGGTTCTGGGCCTGGAACAGCTCCCTGCATGAAGGGAGCCACTGGCAAGGCCTTGGAGCAAGCGGAGCCAAAGCACTGTGCAGTACCACGCTGGTCCTGCTGCTCTTCCCAGTGAGGTGTAGGAGCAGATCCAGGTTTCACTTGCAGGGCACCCCAAGCTCAGCCTGTAAAGCTGTCAGTGCTCCTGTGTGCCATTCTGCTTCTGGTTTCTTCCTTTGCATGCAAATTCCTCCCCTCTGGTGTCTATGGAATGACCAGAGAATCATTGCCATTGAACTGGTGGTGTAGGAAGCCGAGAGACTGACTGAAGATGGGGCAAGGGAACGTGAAGGTTTACCCGTTTGGAATAGGAAGCAAACAGTCGTGTGTCCTGTTTCTCCTTAAATCCTGTCCTTGGTGTCACTGGAAGTTCCATGTTCTGGTTAAATTATGCAGACACCACAGGAAGGAGCAGATGCTGTCCTAGAAACTGCCGTCTGTTGCCTTGTCACAGCCACTTGGGAAAGAGTCCTGATTCTGAACAGGAAATTGAAAGCAAAGGGTGCCAGAGCATCTCCCATCCAAACCTGCTGCTCGGACCTGCACCCTCAGGTAGGGCAACCTGGAAGAGAAACCAAGGACAGAGGCTGGGGATTGAATTCCAGACTGGAATTTGGGAATTAGGTTTTTCCTTCACTAAATCCCATTTGTCCTACGGAATGAATGCATCAGGCTGGAGTCAGTCTGTTAGCTCCGTGCTTTGGCACAGGTTGCCAAGCGCTCAGGATGGATTCTTTATGATGCATTTTGACTGCAGCTTTGGACAAGGGATGTTTAAAAGCAGTCGCTTGAAGATGGTGCCAGATGTTACTGGGCTCTGCTGTGCAAATGAAGGGCCAGGTGGGACAGGGCTTGGAGCAACCCGCTCTAGGGGAAGGTGGACAGGATGAGCTTTAAGGTCCCTTCTAACCCAAACCAGGCCAGCCAGCACCCACCAGCACCCCAGGGGTAAGGGCTTGGTGCCTCCAGGATGTGCCTTTGAACATAAGAGCAAAGAGAGGTGGTCTTCAAAGGGATCTAGCTGAACAGAGGTGTTCCATGGTGGGGCTTTTATGCTGGGAAGGGGGAGTTGTTTCCCATGTTTACCAGGGCGGCTGCAGCAGTGGCTGGCACAAGAACAGAGCAGAGCGGATGCTCTCGGGGCTGGCACTGTCATCAAACACAAGGTGAGTTAATGTTAATAATCCTTGCCTCCAGCCTGGTGGGTTGGCTTTGGAGGGGATAATCCTGCAGCTGGGGCAGGCTGATGGAGAGATGCAGGTTGGGAGGGACTCCTGGAGGGCATCTCGCCTCCCAGGTCCCATTGGGTCGCTGTGTGGTTGGAGATAGCGCTGCCTTTTTGTGCAATGAGTCCTCTTCCCATCCATGGGTTTGGGGGCACAAAAAAGGATGTGAGTTTTATTCTATAAGGTCAGTAAAGTCTGAAGGTGAATTCCTACTTTATCCTAACAGGAAACCTGCATCCTTTAACTTCACTGGGCAAATGGACACATTCATTATGTGCAGCTTTTACTTGGGATGCAGAATTTATGCTGCTAAAGTGTGCTCTGGGTGGAGGAAAGGGTCCCAGTGTCAACTTTTTTCTCTTCATAAGACCAAGTACCTCTTCTTTTGTGCTACCCTGTGATGTGAGTGTTCAGCAGGCCCAAAGGCACCGATCCTCGCAGAGCATCTTTGGGGAAGGACCCACTGCCATGTATTTGCATGGTGGAGAGCTCAACTGCAGGCAAAGCACTGGTCCAGCTCTTCTCTATTGGGATGCACTGATGGTGGTTGGGTTATTTTCTGGGCTGAAATGTATGTTAACCCCTTCCTGGTGACACACATCACCAGAGCTGAGTCGGGCTAGTCCAGGTACTCAGACTGGGACTAATGCCCCCACAGTGATAGCTGGACCAAGCCCCTTAATGTGATAACCCCTTTTGTACAGATGATGTGTATTTTGTGCCCTCCTCTGCTCATAATTATGGGGATTCTTTTTGCTTACTGCTGTCTCTTTGTTTTGAAGGGCAAGCATCAAGAACACCCCAGAGGATGGTACCGTGTTACAGCCTTCATTTGTCAGGGTCATGCATCAAGAACTACACAGCCACTGATGAGAAAAGTCCTTGTGCTTTGCATTCAGGCCTGTTTGCGCTTGATATTGCTTACTTTTGAGATGTTCCAAGTGTTCTCTCTATATATACACAATGTCAGTAAGGGAGGTGGGACTGGATTTGAGCACATCCAGCAATGCAACACTCGGTGTGTTTGAAATAGCTTCGTGAAGACACAGAGACGCTCCAGCACTGAAATGGGGATTGGCTTTGTGTTCCCCAACGAAGGAGTTGGGCTCTGGGGCAAGAGCTGGTGTTACTGGTAAAGAAAGCTCAGGACCCTTGCAAGGTAATGGGGGGGTGAGCTTTGGTTTTTACTTTATAAACTAGGAGCAAGGGGAGGGAGTGCAATTTTGGGTTCTGCCTTGACGTTTATTATGGTAGAAAATAACTCCTTGCATTTTGGGGTTAGGGGGCTGTGGGGTTTTATTTTTTCCTTATTTCTTTGATTTTTGCCTTTATTTTTATTAAATGTTACTTTATTATTATAAAGTATATAGCCAGAGCTGATTGCTTGCAGAGAGGTGCATGGCTTCAGCTGCATCCATCACTTGTACCCATTAAAGACATGGTGCAATTAGGATCAATCATGGCTTAGTGTGAAGCTTCTCCTCTTATACCTGCTGAATCACAGCAACAAGAGAAAGCACGGAGCACTTAGACTGTGGCATAACACACAGAATAAATGCTTTCTGTTAAACATGGGTTGCACACCACTTTGTACATCCATTGCTGTACAAGAAACAGTGCAGTCCCCAGCACCACACTTAAGCCTGGTCCAAAACACAAGATGAATGGAGGCATAGAAGAGCTCACAAAAGGCTCCAATGGTCATTAATCCATCAGTTAATGAAGCAAAGTGCTGCAGATGAGGGTCCAGGAGCCAAGCTGTACCCTACAGCTCTTTGTGCTGTTTCAATCTCCATTGTACCTGTGCTTCGCTGCATCACTGCATCACCAACCTCCAGCTGCACAAATGCAGGACTTAGGTTTCACAGCCCCCATGTGAACACTGCACCATTCAAGACAGGGATTGTTAATGGTAACTAAAGGAGTTTCATGGGAATAGGAAATGTAAAACCCATTCAGGTGACACTGGGGCTGAAACTGCAGTTAAGACCCAGCCATCTCCTGCACTGGAGTGGGGCCACAGCTTGCCCAGTAGCTTTATTCAGGAAATAGGTAGGGTTTTGCCATCAGGTTGGGAATGGAGGAGGGAATGGAGCTGCTCTGTGTCCATTGGATGCCATGAGCCCAGATTTGGGGGAAAACACCCAAAAGCCAACAACCCAGCCGTGGTTTCTGCCTTTGCACCTCGATGACAGCACTCACCAGGGGATGGAGCAGTTGA